CTCCTTCAATTCCCCCGTGCTTCATAAAAAAAAAAAAAAACTCTCTTTCTGCATACCGAACTATCAACGCCATCAATTACACCAGGGAATCTGCGGTTCTTTCTTTGTAGTTCACCTGTATCTGAGCTTTAAGTCGTTCGAGACAATACGCTTTAATTAAACAAAAGAACAGTGAGAAACTTGGTGTTTGTGATGTCGAAAAGTGAATCCCCACGTTAGTTTATCTAGCACAGTCTGCACCGCGAGCTATTAGGAAATATGAGGCCATGTGTTCTGTTTAATTAAATGAGAACGAAATATGACCTGGGCCCTTTGGAGTTGAGGAGATTCGTAGGTTTTTAGATCATATTTTTCTTATGTAACTTCTCAACTGAGATGGTTTGTGAGTCTGTGAATCAAATAATCATGCTGGCCAAGGACAGTGACACTTCTGTAGTTCTGTAGTCTGTAGCTGCTTTCAATGATCTATACAGATACATGCATTGAGACAAAATCTATTTTCTTTCATTTTAATGTCTTTGATCTGAGTGTTTTCCCCCCTTGCTTTATTTTAATTAGTAATTATTATTATTATTATTAACATTTCAGTGACCGTGTTTGCTTAATAATGTTTTAACGAAAAAATATATCCTCATGTACATGTGTTCTTTACAACAGTACTGCCATGGCACAGTGGCATCTATGTGATAGTCTTGATTTTATCTTCTAATTCTCTCTCTTTCTTTTTCAGCCTGATGAGTTGACAAATGCTCTGGAAATCAGTAATATCGTCTTCACCAGTTTGTTCGCACTGGAGATGCTCCTGAAACTGCTGGTTTATGGTCCTTTTGGCTACATCAAGAACCCTTACAACATCTTTGATGGTATTATTGTGGTAATCAGGTACACATGCTCTTCTGCATTCTTTCTTTGGTACATCTAAACATTAATAACGTGGCCTGTGTCACTGTTTATTGACGTTCATCTTCATTTCTGAAAATGCACACTGGCAGTGTGTTATATCACAACAGTGACAGCCAGACAGAATGCAGCCATTACTGAGTGATGGGACATCTGTTGCCTGTTCAGTCTGATGACTGTCAGCTGTCATGATGAGTGCTGCAATTTCACGCCCATCCATTCTCAATTGACATGAATTTGCACATACTAAGATGTCTGAACAAGCAAAAGATTTGGCATGGTACAATGTTATGATGGGTTCTTGCATTTATTAATGCTCTCAGCGTGTTGCATAGATACAGTTGCCAACTATTCTGGGGGCGTGGTTTAACGTGGGTGGGAAAACAAATACTGGTTACCATAGTAACACAATCATTCTTAAAGGGGTCATATGATGCGATTTCAAGTTTTTTTTTTTTTCTTTAAATACTTCAAATACCTCTACTTCAAAAATAAATAAATACATAAAAATACATAGATAAAAAAAAAAAAAAGATAAAATAGATAATAGAATAGAAAAAATAAAAATAAAAGTAAAAAACAAGCAGGTTTTTCAATTTAAAATATTAACAATCTAAAATATAAAATATAATATAACAAGCTAAAATTATTACATATTAAAATAATAATTAACATGAGTAAAAATAATAAAGTATTTTAATTATTAATTTCACTTCAAGGATTATTTACATCCTTTTATATTTAATAATTGTTTTTTGTTTATACTCAAAGCAAGTAAAAAATATATATAAGGAATATAAAATATAAAACAGCAAAAAAGCATAAAAAACAAGCAACTTTTTTAAATGAACAAAAATGGATATAACAAGCTAAAATTATTAAAATATTAAAATTATAATGTATTAAATAAATAAAAAAATTAAGTATTCTTTAAATTATTAATGATTATATTATTAAAATAAATTAATAATAATAAAATAATAAAAGTAAGATGTGTTGCAATATATTACAGTTCAAAGGTTTGGGGTCAATAAGATTTTTTAGATGTTTTTGAAACAGGTATAAATGAAGATGCATTTATTTGTTCAAAAATTATTAAAACTAATACTGTGAAATATTTTCAATACAATTTAAAATAACTGTTTTCTGTTTAAATGTATTATGTATTTGCTGTTGTCTCTAATCATCTTGTTGCTGAATTGCTTGTGTTCACAGCAGTTTTATTTTAGCTTATTTTATTCAACTGGCTAGTGACATTTCTTGCTTTGTTTGAAATGCAACAAACCACACTAAAACATTTTGGAATGCTTTTCTTTCGAGCAATAACCCAATCTATTGCATTTCTCCCTTAGGAATGAAAGGATAACTATGATAGCCGGGATTTGTTTTAGGATTGTCCTCCTTGTGCATTCTGTCAGATGTGTGTGTTTATATGTGTTGACAGTGTCTGGGAGATTGTTGGCCAGCAGGGAGGAGGTTTATCGGTGCTGAGGACCTTCAGACTCATGCGTGTGTTGAAGCTGGTCCGCTTTATGCCCGTGGTGATATTTCATAATATTACTGTTTTTACTGTAGTTTGATCAAATAAATGCAGACTTTAAAAAAAAAAAAATTTATTATTAAAAATCTTTCCGACCCCACAATTTTGAACATAAGTATCAATGGCAGTTTGATTATATTTGTTTCTTGTACATCAGATCTTGACTCAGGAGGACTGGAATAAGGTACTGTATAATGGGATGGCCTCCACCTCTCCTGTGGCGGCTCTGTACTTCATCGCCCTCATGACTTTTGGAAACTATGTCTTGTTCAACCTGTTGGTGGCTATCTTGGTGGAAGGATTCCAAACTGAGGTAAAGCCAGATTCCAACCTAGCCTCTACATTTTTTTCATCCTCTTTTTTTTTTCTTCACTTCACAGTCTGTCTTCTCTTTTTTGTCCTTTAGAATCTAGCACATATTCCAACACCGTATCTTTCTTCTCTCTTTCACCACTAGCTCTCTCCTGTCCCCTTCGACTAACACTATGTCCTAAACAGGCACGACGTGACAAGATTCAACTGAAAAGCGATTTTTCTGTCCAGGCTGAAAGCAAAAATGATGCTCGATGCAACAAAATCACAGCCAATCTGTTTGCGTGCTTTCTCACACTCCACAGCTGAAGAGCGTGAATCTAAGAACCTTGTATTTTCATGACTTTTCATAACGCTTCACTTAACAGAGTCCTTTTCATGGTTTTCATTATGGTGCTTGAAGGATTTTTCAAATAATTTGTCATATAAAACTTCCTTACCAATTTCTTGTCATCCGTTTTTTGATGTTCAGTGTATGTGAGGAGCGAGTTTGATCCACTGAATTTCGTATGGGCAGGGGTTTGTGTGTGTGTGTGTGTGTGTGTGTGTGTGGAGCAACACAACACAGAAGAGAGACACTTGCTGATTTTCTGAGTAGAGTACTAGCATACTACTCTTGTGGCAGAAATAGTAAGAGTATATGCTATCCTGAATTTAGTGACTATTCTGTGGTATTTTGTAGTATAAATAGTATAAATTGTGTGTGTAGTTCACACCAAAAACAAAAACTATAAAGATAACTAGTGTACGATAACTATAAAGATAATTTATTATAAGCACATGCTGCAGTTATGTTGTCTGCCCCTATAAATGCTCAAGCTCTTTAAAGATGGATTCTGATGAGCTGTTAACACTTTACCATTCATTAGCTGGAAAAAAATCTGAAAGTGATTCCAACGGTAACGTTTTTCTGTGTCTTTATTGTTATAGTTGTGGTGTGGACACAACATAGTGTATAGTATGTAATTTGGGACAGTTTTATTGTTTATTTTGTCACAATTTGAGCTAAAAAATGTAAATGTAAGATGCTATTTTTGGCAGATTTCGTTGGTTTGAAATATGTTTCGAAATGTCATCTTGAGATTTCTGTCTTTCTCATTCATGTAGATAACAGTTGTACTTCAAAAATAGCTGTCTGGGAGCATTTCCGAGTGAACTGAATTGGAACTTAGCGCCACAGAAGTACAGAAGCAACTGACAAAATGCAGTGTCATTGTCAAAGCTGGTTAGGACAGACACGTGGAAAGCTTCTTGCTGTGTCGCATTGTGCCTGGTTAGGACACTATGCTATTCAACTGGAAGTGATGAGTTTCTTGTTCTGTGTATAATAGTGCCTACTCCATGCTCGAGCACTCCTTCTCATCCTCCTTCCTTCATTCTTTTTCTTTATCGCCTTCTTTTTCCATGATCTTATGAGACAACTTATCTCCCAATGCATAGCAGCCATTCTTCTCTGACAGAAAGACAGACACGCACACAGAAATGGCCAGGCTCAAGATAAATCAGAGATATAAATGTTATACCTATGTATCATTTTGGGTGGAGGGGTTGTTTTATTACTGTCCCTTTGGAAAGAGGTGAACCGAATCATGCAAGTTGACGTGTCTATACGGTGCAAAAAGAAAAAACGATTTGATCACCTTTATTTTTACCGTATGATCAATTTTTGAAATAAAATTTTCACATGCAGTTTGTTGAAGTCCTGTTGTTTGGCGTTCTAGTAGATGTAATACAGTTTAACTCATGATAAATGTTACTGTAAATCTAAGACCTGACAACTCTGCTCACATGGTGGATTCAAAAGATTCATAAAACTTTTAATGAAAAAAGTATCTAGATTTTGATCGATTGTTCAGTTGAGCAAAATCATTGTTAGAATAACGAACAGATGAATCAAAAATGATTAAGTGCTGTTTCTGTAACACCTCATTAGAGCAACAACAAGAGAAACAAAACACGTAATTGAAAATTGGTTTGTCATTCATATTAATTTGCATAATAGGAGTGAAAGAGAAAGTTATGGATTTTTTGTTGACTTGAGAGAAGGTATTATCTGGACGGAACTCAGTTCTTTGCCTTTTCCCCCTCTCTAAAAGATGAGTGTGCCTCTCCTGTGCCTGCCTGCCAGACCAAAATAGCTTTCATTCTGCATCATGGCAGGAAATTATGTAGCTCAGAAGTCTTCAAAATAAACTCTCTAGTCTTAAATATGAGAGGATAGCCCACACTCAGCTGACCCCTCTCTGCCGTTACCTTTGCTAAGTGCATCAGATATTATAATCTCATCGCAACTGATCTGATGCCAACAGGAATGCCAAGGTACTGTGTTCTCCTGCTCTCCCCTAAAACTGACGAACACTACTGGCTTAATATTTTAACCTTACATCATTTTCTGCAAACATCATGTTTATTTTTAGTTGGTCGAACTTTGCAGTGCATCAGGGTTGCTGGGGAAACGGGTGGCTGAATGACACATGTGAAGCAGAGAGATCAAGGGCCAGGATGAATGTCCCTTCAACAGCGTAATGTCCCGTCCACTGCAGCAGATTGCTTTATGTAATCACATTGCTGTAAACAGGTGGTCACTGTTGGACTAGCATGTCAGTCTGTATGTCAGCATGTTCAGTGGTCAACTTGTCCATGTATTTTATTGGTTAAAAGCTAGATTTTTTTTTACTATTTTTTAACTACTGTATTTGTGTCCATCTTTGCACAGACACCTTCACAAGGCATTTACTTGATCAAAAATACAGTAAAAACTGTAATATTATGAAATATTATTATATTTTAAAATAACAGTTTTCTATTTTAATATATTTTAAATTGTAATTTATTCCTGTGATGGCAAAGCTGAATTTTCAGTCTTAAGTGTCACACGATCCTTCAGAAATCATTTTAATATGCTGATTTGGTGCTCAAGAAACATTTCTTATTATCTCAAAATCAGTTGTGCTGTTTAACGGTTTGATACTTTTTAAAGGATTCTTTATTAAATAGAAATAGATTTTTATAACAATATTTTTACTGTCACTTTTGATCAATTTAATGCATCATTGCTGAATAAAACTATTTAAAAAATCGTATTATTAAAAAATCGTATAAAATTATATTTTATTATATTATTATTTAATAAGTTATAGCATGATTGCATAATTTAAGACTCATATATAAACTACACGCTCCTCTGAAATCCTCTGAAAAGACAAAGCAGGCTCAAAGATGGACAAATTTAATTAAAATGTCGAACATTGACAAGTTGTAGCATGACATGCCCAGCACTCTCATTAGACTGACTGGATGCAGAGGAAGGGTGCCCAAATTTGTTATAGTTCTTGTTACAGAGGCAATAACAATAAAATAACTAAATGTGTTGTTATTCTTGTGGAACATAATTTTCCAAGAATTTCTGAACTTAAAAAATTGGTTGTGCACCGAAGAGAGTCATAATTTGACCCGAAGCAGAGTCTGATCTCGTTTGTAATTCAAATAGTTTGTAGAATTAAAAGAAAAACATACATTTTATACGCATTGAATATTTCAGTCAATTGCAGTCATTCTCTGGATGTAATTCGCTAATTTACTCTGACAGATTCGCAATGTGAAAAATTCAATACGTGTTATCTCAAAGGAGCTGGAGGGAAAAAACAAAAGAGTTCATCCATTTCAGAGAATAAAAGAGCCAAGTATTGATACCTGCAGTAGCAGCATTTTAACTACGGGCAACAATTACACAAACTCACTGTACCGAGAATGCTAACAGCCTAAACTCCACCCAAAATGTAAAATTGCTTTTACTTCAACAGAAGTATTTGCTGAAATGTGGGAGTCAGATTTCTCATAATGTGTCTTTGTCAATTTTCTAACACTTTCTGTGCTTTTTTCCCTTCTGTCTTACCTTTTCGCTCTGTGTGGTAAAATCCTAACACATGTCCACTTTAGGAAATAACCAAGAAGGAAGATTTGCATGGTCAGCTGAGCTGTATTCAGCTGCCTATAGACTCAGGGGTATGTAGCACTCCGCATGATGTTAACCCAGTGAGACTAACCAGGAGGACCACTGCGTTTGTGGACCGTGTCACTTGTGATTGTTTCTTGTAGAAGCAGACTTGACTTAAAGTCTTTCTTCAGGTTCACTTGCTCAATGCCTGGCGGCAGAGTACAAACCTTGTAGAGCCTCATGCTTTATTTTATCTGGCTGAAAGGATGTGTTTGGGCTTATGGAAAGCCTCAGTGAAATCAGACAAAGCCAGACAGACTGCTGTGCAAAAGCAAATAAGGCAACTATAAAGTCCTTTTGAATAGATCTCAAAATCGTTTAATATGTGGATACGTCTCTTAATACCTCTTTACTTTAATTATTTTGATCCTGTAGATTTGCTCTGCATGGTATAATAATTTTTTATGACTTAACGGTTTATTCAAATAGCCCTCCGCTGAGTTCAGTAGCTCAGCAATCGAGAAAGTCCATTCAGTGAGCCAGAGCTGAGTGGAAGCACTTGACCCTGTTGAGGAGACTCGGTCTGTTTGTGGTTCTGGACATCACATCCCGTATTTGTTTTCATTCATGCAGCTGTGCTAGGTGACACATGCAGTGGAAGGCCATAAAATGGAGAGCATCAATGAGGGTTTGAACTGGTCTCTTACACCTTCCAGTCCTTCACCTTGACAATCAAATGACATAAACCTCTATGCTAGTCCTTACTCAAGAGCTATTAGCACGTCTTATGTCAAAACATGCCTTAAATCACTCTATCAGCAAGGTTTGTCAAGCCCAGTAGAATTCCCAAATTAAGACCTGTGATTGTTAAGCAGCAGTTGCACAGCAACCTTAACATCTTAATTGACAGTACAGCCCCAGTAGAATTTCTTTCACACCTTGTACCTGACCAAAGCAGTTCTGAGAAACAAAAATTAAAGGAGTCATTCTAAAATTTCAGACTGAATTTACTCAGTTATTCATTGAAAACCTTGACCTTAAAGGGATAGTTCACCCAAGAATTAAAATTCTGTCATTAATTACTCACCCTCATGTCGTTCCAAACCGTAAGACCTTTGTTCATCTTCAGAACACAAATTAGGATATTTTAATGAAATCCAAGAGCTTTCTGACTCTGCATAGACAGAAAGGGAACAACACGTTCAAGGCCCATCAATGTAGTAAGACATTGTTAAAATAGTCCATGTGACAACAGTGGTTCAACTGTAATTTTATGAAGCTACGAGAATACTTTTTGTGCGCAAAGAAAACAAAAATAAAGATTTTATTCACACACACATGCGTCGTGGTACTCCTGTGAATGGCGGCGGACGCTGACACATAAGAGAAGAATTGTTAAATAAAGTAATGAAGTAAATTGTTGAATAAATATTTTATTTTTTTGAGGCAAATCTTTTCAATGAATCAGTTGATTCAATTCACAGAATTGGTCTCAATGATTTTGTTCACAAATCTGATTTGTAAACAAATCATTCTGAATGATTTGTTCACACATCTGTTTGATTTGTGAACAAATAATTTATTTTGAGTCAAATCTTTTCAATGATTCAATTGCTTCACTCTACAAAACTGAATGATTTTTTCATAAACTGGACTGATCCAGTTCTTGAGATCTGGTTGCAGCTAACATCTCACTATATACATAATATATTATATTTTATTTAATAAAGTCATTTGTATAATAATTTCATTCACAATTTTTTAAAAACATGAGGGTGAACAAATTAAGTTGAACTGTTGCTTTTAATGGTTGTAATTGGTTTTACATAGAACAGCTTTTTGCTAGTGCGTAGGTCAAAAAGTCAGGGAGCTTGTTACACAAACACTATAGTTTTGTTATGTTTCTGCTACATCTCTTTACTCAGAAAGGCCATGTGGGAGTGAGGATAGTCATGTCCAATCCAGACACATCATCCACAGTGCTCATTTCTGAGCATGCAGTGAGTAACAGTGGGTGCTGATGCTAAGCTAACCTCTAACTGCACCTGGTGCCCAGTAGATGGTTTCTGAGGATGCTTTGTAGTAGTGCCTCTCTGCTAGTTCAACCTATCACAGCTGTTTTGTTTTACTGTTCACTGTTGGTGAGAAGGGGCAAGGAGTCCCTCTCGTGTCTTGACTTACGGAGCTAGACTCCAGTGTCATAACTATTTTCAAGTTTTGTTTTTGTTGCCTTAGTAACGTAGATATTGTGTTATTCCCTATTGACAAGTCATATTCACTGTTTTTGTTGTAGTTATGATGTGAATTAATTGTTGTTCTATTGTGCTGTGTTTAGTGTTGCAATGATCCCACTGGTTTTATTGCAACTCAAATTTGCTTTGTTTACTTACCCATTTACACAGCCATTACTAATGCATTGATTTTTTTTTTTCTTTTTTCAGAGACTGAAACACAAAGTTTTGATTTAGCTTAATGTTAATAAGTGAAGCCAATGGGATACATTGTTCGTAGGTGCAAGGTTTGTCAGAATAGTCTCAATTGAGTTCTCTTTGATCATTAGTGCTGTAGAGTACTATGGTAAATGTGTGCTGAAATGAATATGACATCCTGTAACCACATGATAAGGAAAAGATTCATCCTTTATCATCTTGCTCATATTAGATATAAATTACAGTCAGTCCACAAATAGACACCCTAACGGTCAAACTGAGAGAGTGATTCATGCTCTCAGACAGTGATGTCTGTTTTGACAAACCACCCAGGGTTGAAGTTCTGTGCAAGACCACACTGAAACACTCGGCATGAAGCCATTTTAAGACCAGCGCAAGACTGGGGATGTAGAGGATACAGGCCAAACAATGTGATGAGCCCTCTGATAAAAATAGCAGTGTTTATTTCTCCTGCTTGATCATTGGACGTGCCTGCTCTACTGGTGAGAGCAGTGAGCCGAGAAAAAAACCCACACATATTCAGCTGCATGTGGATGTGACTTAAACTATTATAGCAGATGGTCTGACCATGAGAAAATCTGCTTAAAAATACACTCAAAAATACATTTAACTAATATTTAGTACACAGTACCGGTGGTTTCAGAGTGGTGATGCAACGTGGTGCTGTCAAATGCATGCCGACACTGTGTTTTTGTGGATTCCCCCAACCAGGATGTCTCTCCCTTAGATACCAATCACCCTCTGGCCTTTTTGAAGGCCGGCTTGCCCACCTGCCTGTTCCTCACCCTTTAATATGCTTCTTTAACCCCCAACAACATCTAAACCTGGTAACTAATCTTTTATATCTTCCACATTTGATAAAGGGTGATGCCTCGAAGTCGGATTCTGAAGCAGACTTCTATACACGGAGCTTGGAGGATGTTTCAGGATGTAAGAAGGATCTGTCTGCATCATCTGGTGAGACCCACAGAGCATAGTTTGCATAGAAGCACATGGCATATTCAGGACATTTTTTTTATTATCTGCAGGCCAGTAGATTTTTATTTGCCCTGCCAACAAATTCACTGGCCCCACCACAAAATATTTATTTATTTATTTGCTAGAAATATTTATTAGTGCTGTCAAATGATTAATCGCATCCAAAATAAAAGTTTTTGTTTACATAATATATATGTGTGTACTGTGTATATTTATTATGTATATATAAATACACAAACATACATGTAAATATTTAAAAATATATATTTACATGTGTGTACATGCATATATTTATATTCATATAATTTAT